CTCTCTCTGCAGCAGCTGCTCCCGTGGGGACACTGGCGGGGCCTCGGGAGGACCTACTCTCTCTGCAGCAGCTGCTCCTGCAGGGCGGTCCGCTCTTCCTTCAGGTCTCTCACGGCCCCTCGGAGACGCTCATGGTCCTTGCTGCGGTCCCCTCGTGGCTGTCTGTGCAGCACAGAGCTGGATGCAGGGCAGGCTGGTGGGTGTGATCTGACTGGTTCTGCGGCGTGTGGTTTTGAGCTCTCCATCACACTTAGTTTCTGGAGGCAACACAGGCATGTTTTAGATGCTAGTTCTCATTTCTACTTTCTATTTACTAAACCCAGAAAAGAGACACCGAAGCAGGGCGAACCAAGTCTCCAGCAGGGCCACGAGAAAGCTTTGAGGGGACCCGAGTTACCCAGAGACACAGCGGGGCACAGGGCTACTGGAAGAGCATGATCCCTGCTCAGCTCCCTTTAATCAGAAGTGAGGCACGCCAGACCCCTGCTGAAGCAGGGCACAGGCAGAAGCCATTAAAACAGAGAGGAGGGCATGAGGGGAGGTGACTCAAACGACTCTGCACATCTACCTTCCTGCCCGTCCCCACCCTCCACTCCTGCCTCTCCCGGCTCTCGGACGTGCTGCCCACTGTGCTTCCGAACCACCTCTGGGTGCCTTGACTTCCCAACAAGTTCTATATTTTAAACATTCACAATTTATAGAAACTTCTCTTCTTGTTTTTTTTTTTTTTTTTTGAGACAGGGTCTGGCTCTGTCACCTAGGCTGGAGTGCAATCACAGCTTGTTGCATTCTTGAACTCCTGGGTTCAAGCGTTCCTCCTGCCTCAGCCTCCCAAGTAGCTGGGAATACAGGTGTGCACCACCACACCCGGCTAATTGTTTTCATTTTTGTAGAGATGGGTTCTTGCTATGTTGCCCAGGCTGGTCTCAAATTCCTGGGCTCAAGCAATCCTCCTCTCAAAGTACTGGGTTTGCAGGTGTGAGTCATTGTATCTGGCTAGTTTTCTACATTGTAAATATGTAAAAAACTATTTTTCAAAAACGTTTTTCCCTCTAGGTTTATTCTTCTTGGCCAAACAACACAGACGCTCTAATTTACTATTTAAAATACAAAGGTCCAGGCTGGGCGCGGTGGCTCACGACTGTAATCCCAGCACTTTGAAAGGCCAAGGTGGGCAGATCACTTGAGGTCAGGAGTTTGAGACCAGTCTGGCCAACATGGTGAAACCTCATGTCTACTAAAAATACAAAAATTAGCTGGGCATGGTGGTGGGCACCTGTAATCCCAGCTACTGGGGAGGCTGAGGCAGAAGACTGCCTGAACCTAGGAGGCAGAAGTTGCAGTGAGTTGAGATTACGCCACTGCACTCCAGCCTGGGCGACAGAGTGAGACTCCATCTCAAAAAAAAAAAAAAAAAAAACCAGCCTGGCTCAGTGGCTCATGCTTGTAATCCCAGCACTTCAGGAGGCCAAGGTGGGCGGATCACGAGGTCAGGAGATCGAGACCATTCTGGCTAACATAGTGAAACCCTATCTCTACTAAAAATACAAAAAATTAGCCGGGCGTGGTGGCAGGTGCCTGTAGTCCCAGCTACTGGGGAGGCTGAGGCAGGAGAATCACTTGAACCTGGGAGGCGGAGGTTGCAGTGAGCTGAGATTGCACTACTACACTCCAGCCTGGGGACAGAGTGAGACTCCATCTTAAAAAATACAACCCCAAACAGAGGTCCAATTCCAGTAGAATCAGCCTAATTCCTACTTTGCAAAGTCGCGTAGGGGATGTGGGGAAACGTTCACTTCCCGATATTTCTGGCTGACCAGGAGTTGGGTCAACAGTTCCCTGTGGATTCTAACACAACTCGAGTGGTGGAGGCAGCGCCTGGTCGTCGACGGGCAGGGCACAGCCCACAGCCTGCACAGGCGGGCTGGACCGTGAGGGGCTCCAGTGCGAAGCGCGTCTGCCTGCGGCCACGCACAGAAGCTCACAGCCAGCGAGGGGCGTGAGAGCTGCCTTCAGCGTTGTCTACACCTGGAAGAAGTCTCCTTGCGGTCTGTGTGTGGCGCTGCCTGGCGGACAGCCAGTGCCATGCTCAGCGCCACCTTCCGCACCCTGTGAGCCCGTCCCCACAGCATAAGGCCCCTGGTCCTCAAGGACAGTGGCCCTGAGACGCCCGCTCACCTTCTCCAGCTCCACAATGCGTCTCAGCAGCCGGGGCTTGCTCCACTCCACATAACCTGAGGGAAGCAGTGTGGTTTCAAACGGCTCCTGGCGAGCACTGCCAGCAGGGCCACCCTTCTCAGGTACAGCCTGAGGCTCCTCTCCCGCAGCCGGAGCAGCCTGCGGGGCTGCAGAGCCACTCTGACAGGTCCCGGCCCCCTGGGGGTTTCGCCAGCACGGGCCCAGTCTCTGTCCCCTTGGACCATGAAGAGATGTCTGTACTAATGGCCTCCAAGCATCTCAGGGTGACGTGCTTTCCCGATTCCACCTGGCCAGGCCATTAAGACAGTTCTCATCAAGATCTCCGATGACTGTCATTCTGCCAAATCCAACATCGGTTCTCAGTCTGTCCCCTTCCTGGCATGCACAGCCCCTCGCTGGCCACTCCTCCCCTCTGCCTTGTTGGCTGCCGCCCGCCCCACCATACACGGCCAGGTTCAGGGCCTGACCCCTGCTCCTCTCACTCCGGGTGAGCTCACTCGATCCACCTGAGTGCTGGTGACCCGCATGCTTGGCTCTCCAGACCAGGCCTCTGTCCCGCACCCCCCACACAGCCACTGCCTGGCCCGCACTCCCACACACTCAGACCTCCCGTGGCCCTTCCCCATCTCAGGAAACAGCAACTCTGTCTTTTCAGTTGCTGGGACGAAAAGCCTTGGAGCCTGGCTGCTCCCTCTCAGAGCCTACACCCTCTCTGCAGTTTCCCTAAGCTCTGGCTACAAGATGCAACCAGACCCCGACCACCTTTCACCACACCCACTGCTCCCCACATCCAGGCCACCAGCAGCCCGACTAGACAAGCGCAGAAGCCTCTGTCTGCCACCATCCCTGTCTCTGCACAGAAGCCGGGGGCCTCGGGAAGCAGCACGGCCCCCTCCACCCTCTGCCTAACACTCCCACGGCACCCTTAAGGCTCCCATGGCACCCTGCCCTGCCGCCCCACTGGGCCTCAGGGGCCACGCTCCACGTGTCTCCCAGGCACTCAGCCCTGCCCCGCCTGTCCCACCCCTGCTGCCGTCTTCATGGCTGTCTCGCCCCTTCTGGGTCCTGCTCAGCTGTCACTGTCTTGGGGGCGCCTTCCCGTCAACCCTGCTTGCAGCTGCACACACCACCTGCCTCACCCCAAAATGTGTCCTCCTCCCCTCCTCCATGGCACGGCCATCTGACACACCTGTCACGCATCTGACCCAACTCCTCCCTCCCTCCAAAAGCACTGTCTCCTCGAGGGATGTCTGTGAGCTTCCGTTCACAGCTCCATCCCCTGGGCACCGCGTGGCCCGTGGCAGGTGCTAGCGCAGGTGGGAATTGGCATCGCTCAAGGGTTCACATCTGCCCTCGTGGTGCCTGTCCAGTGGCCATGCCCCGCCCTTCCCTGGCCTCCCTCCTGCAGTGGCTTTCAGGAAGGTACCCTGTGTCTTGGAGATGGTGGGGGAGGTGCTCAGCACCCGGTCCAGGTCCTCCTTCAGGCTCTGGTTCTCCTCCGTGAGCTCCTGGACGCTCCGGGACAAGTTCAGGAGGGCACTGCCCATCTTCTTCTGCCTTTTGGTGCCCGTCTTCTTCTCCCCCAGGGGCCTAGAACAACCAAATCGTGGGGTGAGGTTTGCATTGCTAAGCTGGTTTCACACATGCTTGAAATGAGGGGCAGGTGAATCACAGCTTGCTTTGCTGGTCATGAGCTCAGAGTGGCTTTTGTAGGTGAGTATTTGAAATCGAATAGGCAGTAATAACTTTGAACCCTAAATAAGCAAAACGTTAGCACCCAAAATGGAACCCCATCCTTAAGCAAGGTAAACCTGTGTAACAAAATATCGTACTCAAGTAACAGTATTGTATTTTCCATGCCATCACTAGAAGGGTTATGGAAACGTATCTTGTTCCAGCAGGTGCCTATAGAATAGCTTAGATTTCACTTCTTAGCCCACAAGGTCTAAAGTATAGTCGATCCTCATTATCTGCAGATCCCATAATTGCGAATGTGCTTGCTGCTAAAATGGATCCGTCAGCCCAAAATCAATATGCACGGGGGTTTTGTGGGAATTCTCACACGTGCACAAGTGATGAAAAATGCCAGCTCGGGCTGAACCAGGTGGTGCTCGGCTCCTCACCTCAGCTCATGTAAAAACAAGTGTGCTTTCTGTGGCCTGCCTGGTGCTGTGGCTCTCACGCTTCTGTGCTGTTTGCTGGTGATGCTGCCTTGAGTGGGCTGGACTGCAGTGCTGAGTGCTGTCCAGTGCCTCTAAGCTCAGGAAGGCTGTGTGGGCCCCTGTAGAGATGCTTATGTGTGTGCGAGAAGCTTCATTCAGGCCAGCCGTGAGTTTGATGAAAATTAATCCACAATCACTATTAAATAGGGTGTCTTTAAACAGACACACACATTAGCCAGGTTATACTCTGACTGGCTGATAAAAATGTTGCGACCAGGCCGGGCGCGGTGGCTTACGCCTGTAATCCCAGCACTCTGGGAGGCCGAGGCAGGCGGATCACCTGAGGTCAGGAGTTCGAGACCAGCCTTGCCAACATAGTAAAACCCCATCTCTACTAAAAATACAAAATTTATCCAGGCGTGGTGGCACATGCCTGTACAGTCCCAGCTACTCGGGAGGCTGAGGCAAGATAATCACTTGAACCCAGGAGACGGAGGTTGCAGTGAGCTGAGATTGCATCACTGCACTCCAGCTTGGGCAACATTTTCCAAAAAAATATATACATATATTGTGAGCAGAAGTTCGCAGGAGCCCTGTTCCTCCCCTAGGAGCAGTGGTTTAGCATTCGCTCATTCCATGTTCATGGAGACTTTATAACTCTGTAAGGCGGACGTGATAACCACTGCACTACAAAAACCTACAGACACTTTGTAACTGAATAATGAGAATCAATTGTAGTTAGTATCTGGCCCTTTACAGAAAAAGTTTTCCAACCAGCTTTAAGGATTAGGGGTAAAGAAAAAGGAAAGCAGTCCGTGACATCAGCAAGCTGCTGCAGAGGCCAGTGACACAGCCAAAGCCACCGTCAGGGATCAGCCACCCAGAATGCATCCGTTGGGAAAGGGATATGGGAGATCTACCAGACAAGGAGAACCTCAGTGTTTCTCCTGATAAACTTATTTAGGAAAACATTAGGTGGCAAAGTAAACTTGTCCTTGTATGCAATGTCTTCCTAAAAAGGTGGATCTGCTTTGAAACAGCACTTTCTAGCTCTAAGCTGGAAGGCAGGATGTAGAATCTAGAACGAACACGGGCAGCACTGAACAAGCGTTGGCCGTCAACACGTGGTCACTATGAGGAGTCTGTGAACACCGCAAATGGAAACGTATCAACTCTAACCCTGAACAGAACAGTGCGGTGTTGGCACCACTGCCAAGCTAAGGGCAGTGTATGCTGCACCCACGTGACAGCCACACGCTGTCAGAGGAGCTTCCACAACGTGAAGGCAACACACAAAACGCAGCTCACAAAAGGCCATCATACTTCTTTCCGGTGGTTTCAGAACTCGCCAAGAGGGTCTGGAGACGATGCACCTGTAAATACCAAATTGAAATGCATGAAAACATAAGGCTAGCATGGAGAAGACCTTCTCTGAGAAGACTGACATCACAGTCCTGACCACTGCCTACAGCCGGAAGCGAAAACTAAGTGGTCGCACTTCATCTTTCCATTGGGCTTGAAGCAGGAGCAGGCTCCAGGAGCGCAGCTCTGGGCCACCTGGACTCGACCCACCACGTGAGGCCAGTGCCAGTCCCCTCCCACTTGGTGCCCCCAACTCAGTGCTGGCCCTCCGCCCCGCCGCCCAGCACGGTGCCCGCCCTCCGCCCCACTGCCCAGCACAGCGCACCTCCTCGTAGTACGTCTCCATGGCGATCCGCATCTCTTCCAAGTTGGTGGTCTTCATATCAGCCTGGAGTTTGCTGAAAACCCAAGTTCAGTGTTAACAGGGCCGTGCCAGTGTTCCCAGGGGACAGAGCAAGAGGAAGAGTTTCCCAGAACATTCGGAAGAGGAGAGAGAAGAAACATTTGGAAGAGACCCGGGATGGGAGGGAAAAGCCTGAATGGGCCTTCACTCAGCTTTTGCCTTGAACAAGGGACTCGTTTCAAGCCTGATGGGAGAATTCCTCACACTGGAAAGCATCCCCTGTGTAGACCAGCTGCTTCGCAAAGTGAATAAACAGATTCCCTAGAGATACTCTTCTCCAAGATGCTGTCTTTAAAAGACTAGATTAATGGTGAGGAAAGACTTCGGAGCTTAGAGAGGACAAGCCGCTTTGAGTGGTTGGTTTTGTAAGGAAGAGAGAATCACCTTTTCCCTGGCACTGTCAGGCTGTCCCCTTGCTCTCAACACAGAGCAGACTTTAAATAGAGACAGCGATAGAGAAACCAAAGTAAAGTCATGGAGGTTCTGCACTGAAACAAGAAGAAATCTGCAAACTTAAGTTGACAAAATTGGGCAGGAAACGAGGGGGGAACTATTGTACGAACAGGAGACATGAGGCAATGGATGTGTGGCCTCAGTTTCCCTTAAAGAAACCAAAACACGGCCCAGAAGGACTCTCCGTTCGCACTCGAAAGGCAGGTAAAGAAACGCGAGTAGCCACACCAAAAACAGCACAGGGACGGTGCAGGACTGAGGCATGGAAACCTCATCCTGGGAAGATACAGGGTCCACAGAGCAAGCAGAGAGAAAGCATTCCTTAAATACAGGAAGAAGTTGAAGGGAAATATTTAGAGAGAACAAAGACAATAAAAAAAATTAAAAAGAGGCAGCTAATATTTACCTTCGGCTTTGGGGTGGGAGTAGGGACACAGGACAGGGGTTGGGGAGGAACAAAGGCTGGAGTCTGAGCGAGCAGCACAGGGGGGCAGAAGGCAGGGGAGAGGATGCAGGCCCTGCGCCCACCTGATGGTGCCATCCTTCTCCTTGCACTGCTGCTCCAGCTTCAGGATCCTCTGCTTCAGCCCATTAATGACCTGCCGGGGAACATGCCCATCAGGCAGGCCACCCCCGCTCTCCCTCAGTAGACGTGGCTGTCCCCTCCTCCCAGAGCACCTGCACACCTCACTGGCCTTCCTCCCTCCAGCACTGTCCTCTCTTCTAGACTACAGGCCCAGGGAAGAGGGAGGGCCCCACTGTGCTGTCCTCTCCCTGAGTAAAGCTGGGTGAATGGCAGGGGTGTGACACCGGCTAGAGCAGGAGGAGGTGGCAGCCATCGTGGGCACACTGACCGACTGGCAGCCCTTCCCCAAGCACACCACATACTTCGGGGACAGAGCAGGGTGCTCCCTTGATTATATTAAATAAAGGAAGCAGCCCCATCACCAGCTGGAGAAACCCCGGACTCAAAGCCCCTAGGGCCACCCAGTTCAGTCTCCACAGGGCAGTGAGTGGGGCTGGGAGACAGCGCAGCCGTAGGGCCCCGAAGAGCCGCTCCCCTCCATCTGGGGAAGGGAGAACAGCTCCAGAGGCCTCCTCACCTCCTTTTCTGTGAATGTCTTGCTTGGAGGAGACAACATTCTTATATTCTTTAAAGAACATTCTTTTCTTCTAAATAGACAACTTTTAAATGGAGATGGGGTTTCACTATGCTGCCCAGGCTGGCATTGAACTCCTGGGCTCAAGCAATCTGCCTGCTTTGGCCTCCCAAAGTACTAGGATTATGTGTGTGAGCCACCACACCAGGCTTGAATACACAACTTTTACATTGGATTTTAAAGTCATTTTAAATTATGTTAGTTGGCTGGGTGCAGTGGCTTACGCCTGTAATCCCAGCACTTTGGGAGGCCAAGGCAGGTGGATTGCCTGAGGTTAGGAGTTTAAGACCAGCCTGGCCAACATGGTGAAAACCCATCTCTACTAAAAATACAAAAATTAGCCGGGCATGGTGGTAGATGCCTGTAATCCCAGCTACTCAGGACACTGAGGCAGAAGAATCGCTTGAACACGCGAGGTGGAGGTTGCAGTGAGCCGAGATCTCACCACTGTACTCCAGCCTGGGCGACAGAGCCAGACTCAGTCTCAAAATAAATAAATAAACAAACAAATAAATTATGTTAGTCATACATGAATACATTTTCCTTAAAAAAATGAAGATGTTACAGGACTGGGTGCGGTGACTCACGCCTGTAATCCCAGCACTTCGGGAGGCCAAGGTGGGTAGATCACAAGGTTAAGAGATCGAGACCATCCTGGCTAACACAGTGAAACCCCGTCTCTACTAAAAATACAAAAAATTAGCCAGGCATGGTGGCGGGTGCCTGTAGTCCCAGCTACTAGGGAGGCTGAGGCAGAATGGCGTGAACCTGGGAAGCGGAGCTTGCAGTGAGCTAAGATCGCACCACTGCACTCCAGCCTGGGCAATAGAGTAAGACTCTGTCTCAAAAACAAAACAAAACAAAACAAAAATGAAGACGTTATAGAGGCTAAAATACTCTGACCTGGCCACTCCCCTCTTCAGCCAACCGAATTCTGTTTCCACTTGCATGCCCCTCTGCACCTGGTTCTGTGCATGGCTGTGTGTGTGCACTCGGGGAGTCAGGCCCTCTGTTCTCACAGAAACGGGGCTCTGTCACACACATCCCTCTGAATCTTGTTTTTTTTTTTCCTGACATTCAACAAATCCTCCTGGTGCTCTGTCCCTGCTGGCGCCTGTGAATCCACACTATTTCCCACAGTCTCTCCATCCAGTCTCTCCTATTGATAGACACTTTTTGTTTTTTGAGACAGAATCTCATTCTTGTAGCCCAGGCTGGAGTGCAGGGGCATGACCTCGGCTCTCTGCAACCTCTGCCTCCTGGGTTCAAGCGATTCTCCTGCCTCAGCCTCCTGAGTAGCTGGGATTACAGGCACATCACCACACCCGGCTAATTTTTTGTATTTTTAGTACAGACGGGGTTTCACCATGTTGGCCAGGCTGGTTTCAAACTCCTGACTTCAGGTGATCCACCCGCCTCGGCCTCCCAAAGTGCTGGGATTACAGGCATGAGGCACTGCGCCCGGCCAATAAACCCTTTTAAAATCTTTTTTTTTTTTTTTTTAGCTATCCTCTAAAACCTATCACTGTAGCCTACTGACACATACTTCAGTTGTAGCCCATTTTTGTGATTCTGGTCAATCCTATAATCAAAATCCTTGGCCAGGTCTCCTCAGGCACATCTGCAAATGTTTCTTGAAGGCAGGTGATGACAAGTAGATGTGGTAGGGTGCAGCCACTCTGGTGGACAATTTGCCATATGATAATGAATACTGCATATACCCTAGGATCTAGAATTCCTAGTTTAAATTAACGTTAGCCAGGTGCGGTGGCTGAGGCCTGTAATCCCAACACTTTAGGAGGCCGAGGCAGAAGGATCGTATGAGCCTGGGCAACTTCGTGAGACCCCATCTTACCAAAACTAAAAGAAAATTAGCTGGGTGTGGTGGCACGTGCCTGTGGTCCTGGGTACTCAGGAGGTTGAGGTGGGAGCATTCCCTGAGCCAGGGATCGCCTGAGCCGAATGCTGCAGTGAGACATGATCCTGCCACTGCACGCCAGCCTGGGCAGCAGAGTGAGTCCCTGTCTCAAGAAAAAAAAAAAAAAAAAACCCCACAGACACGCTCACAGAGCATCAGAACAACAAAAATATGGAGCCCTTTCCTTACGAAAGTACCCACTCCACTACTTACAGGCATTTGTTAAGGATTTACTTTGTGCCATCCCAGGTGCAGAACCAGGCTCTCACCATCTACTTTAAACACGTAATGATTATACAATCGTTCTACATTCTGTATCTGTGACATAGTTCGGAGGAGACGGCTTTTTTCTTTAGAGATGTATGGTTTTTTTGCATATTCTGAACAGAACACTTTGCTGTTTTGATCCGTGATATCCTTCCCCTCCCCCATGACAGTGATCTGGGTGCTCCTAGTCCCATGGGTTTTGATTCCGTCACTTCTAATTTTACATGATCAAATCCATTAATCACGTCGTTCATGTTATTTTATTATTTGTGTTCAATAATCTCAAAATTGTATCCCTTTCGGTTTTCTTGCAGCATTTCCCGCTTTAGAAAAGTACTTCCTTGACTCCTAGGAGGTGTACTGTGCTACCTACAGTTGATCGCCACGGCATTACCATTCCAAAAGGCAACGTCTTCCCTCCTTCCATTTCATTCCACTTTTTACATATCGTCACATAGTACCTGGGAGGTCTGGATCTATCTGAAGGACTTTATCGCTGCCCTGGCTCCCTGATTTACCTCAGTAGCACTTGTTTTTTTGTTGTTGTTGTTGTTGCCCAGGCTGGAGGGCAGTGGCACCATCTCAGCTCACTGCAACCTCTGCCATACAGGTTCAAGCGATTCTTGTGCCTCAGCCTTCTGAGTAGCCAGGACTACAGGAGCAGGCTGCCATACCCGGCTTCTTTGTATTTTTAGTAGAGACAGGGTTTTACCACGTTGGCCAGGCTGGTCTCGAACTCCTGACCTCAAGTGATCCACCTGCCTCAGCCTCCCAAAGTGCTGGGAGCACTTGTTGAGCTTAATGTATTTTCTCAGGTGTGAGGGAGAAGTTGCCCATTGTGACGGGTTTTTCCTACAGTGTCTTGCTTGGCCTCTGTGGTGAGCCTGCTGACCCCCCTCCCCGTGGCATCCCCAGGTGTCAGTGGAGAAGGGTTTGGGGGTCCGCAGTCGCCTCCCGCCTGCTACTCTTCATGAGTGAGTGCTGCAGGGAAGGGCGTCCCCGCTGTGGCTGTCCTCCGCAACTAGCGTCTAGGGAAAGGCTCTGCCCTGCACAGCCCATACTCACCCAACTGGCCTCGGGCCTTTTCTCTGCCAGAGTCCGAACAAAATCTGTGCCCTGTGGTAAGCAGATTGAGACATGAAGACGGCCTTCGATGTAGCCCACAGCAGGGCTGGCTGGTAGATGCCCCGAGGACCCTCCCCGCGCCCCGTCCCTGAAGCGCCAGGAGCTTACGCGGCTGGGATCAAGGAGCTGCTCTATCTGCCGGTCCTTCCTGCTGTTTTCCTCCTCCAGGCGCCGGAGCTTCGTTCTCATTAGGTCCACATCGCTCTTCTGCACATGCAATGACTGAAGAAAAGAAGGGCCATGCACGGCCATCCACACACCGCTGCGCACACGCCGCACACACGCCGTGCGCACGTCCTCGCACGCACAGCCAAGCACACGCTGCTGCGCACACACGTCCCCGGGCAGCCAAGCACATGCCGCACACACGTCCCCGGGCAGCCAAGCACATGCCGCACACGTCCCTGCGCAGCCAAGCACACCACACCATGCACACGCTGCACATAGGTCCCCCCACGCACAGCCACGCACACGCCGCTGAGCACATGCCACACACATGTCCCCGCGTACACTGCCATGCACACACCACTACACACACACCGCACACAGCCATGCACACCACACCGCGCACAGGCCCAGGGAAGCACTGAGCTGGGAGATTTGGAAAGCTGCCTGGCACGGTGTGTGGTGGGTGGGGAGAGATCTGGATGTCACATGAGGGCACCGGAGGGCACGCCTGGCATTTAGTGGGTGGGGACGGGAAAAGCTGGATGGGCAGGAAGAGAAGAACTGTCCCACCCAAGATACCAACGGCACCCGTGCTGAGAAACCCCGTTCCACGGAATGCACGGGAAAGGAATGCCGCCAACACTGGGGCTGGACGGTGACGCACCATGCATTCTCTCCCATGACCACACAAGAAAGTCCGTTTTGTTCACGTTTTTATCAATAAAACTCATCCAAGGCTAATATGCATTTCAAATGCTTATCCTCAGCTACAGCTCAGGTGGAAGGCAGTGCTTCCCAATCTTTATCTGTGGACAAACTCTTTACCAATTTGTGGTGACCTGACGGGGGACAAAAAAGACTGTGTAGTCGGGGCCGGGTGCGGTGGCTTACCCCTGTAATCCCAGCACTTTAAGAGGCCGAGGCGGGTGGATCACGAGGTCAGGAGTTTGAGACCAGCCTGGCCAGCATGGTGAAACCCCATCTCTACAAAAAATACAAAAAATTAGCCGGGCGTGGTGGCAGGTGCCTGTAATCCCAGCTACTCGGGAGGCTGAGGCAGGAGAATCGCTTGAACCTGGGACGGGGAGGGTGCAGTGAGCCAAGACTGTGCCACCGCACTCCAGCCTAGATGAGAGTGAGACTCTGTCTCAAAAAAAAAAAAAAACAAAAAAAACTATGTAGTCGATTTCTTACAAAACTAAGTTTATTCAATCTCTACAACTATCCTGTACTTTGAAATTATGTTCTTCCTACTATTTTCGTGGTAGATAAAGTCCAGGAAAGAAACAGCATGTAGGCTGGGCTGTGCCACAGCTCACCAACTCCCAGCCTCAGCCTACATCTAACCGCCAGCCATCCTCCCACACGGCCTTCTTGCAAAAGACTGTGGTGTTCCAGAGACTGGACCTCTGAGCAAAAGACAATCTGGAGTGCGCACCCCGTGGGGGTGGCTCGGCACTTCAGCCACATCCACAGCTGGCAAGATCGCTGAAGACAAACCCACAGATTCAGGAGGCATGACGACAAGCCAGCACTCAGCTTGTGGAGTCAATGAGCGAAGGCCCAGCCATGGAGGAAGATGGGAGCTCTAGTAACGGGACTGCTGCTTCCAGGAGCGTGACCTAGATTCACCCCTCCCAACTCCTCCTGTCAGTTCCACTCAATACCTGCGCTCCATGTGTAACGCAACCTAAGACTGGAAAGGTGGAGGTGGCAGACGGGCCGGGACTTGGGGGGCCAGCGATCGACACGGCAGGGAGCTCCTTCAGTTTTCTTTCTGCCTCATCTGGGCTGGATGCTGGAGAAGCCAACAGCCTAAAAACGCCAGTGGGTGCAGACAATAAAAGCCCACGCAAAGCCTCTTCTCTCCAGCCAGAAGACAAGGAAAGGAACAGACCAACAAGGCAGAAACTGACAGGCAGGAGCCGCTCTACCCTAGGCAGACCACGGAAAACGCCACAGTCCTCCCCACAGCACAGGCTATGTGGGGAGCCCGGACACTCACCCTTGTCCGGCTGCACCCAGGCCCCTCCCCTCCTGCACTGGTGGGGCTCCAGAGAAGGCCGTGCAGAGTCGGGACCACCAAGGCCACCCCTGCATCGGCGAAGGCTGAGTGGAAGCAGTACAGGTGGCCCTTCCCTCCCAGCCAGGGCGGCAGCAGAGGCTGAGTGAGGGGCCCAAACTCCCGCCCTGCCCAGCACGAATGAGGAGCCCCTCCGGGAGCAGGGGTTGATGACGGCTGAGTGGGAACTGGACCTCCACCCTCGCGGGTGGTAGTGAGGCGGTGCCCCCTTGACCCACAGGGCAGCGTGAGAGGAGGCCTGCCACAACACAGGATTGAGCAAGAGTCAGAGTTTTGCGATGAAACACTCCGAGCGTCCTGGTTTCAAGGAAATCACTTTTATACTAAGAACCAAGAATAGCTCAACCTGAATGAAGAAAAACAAGCTACAACGTCAACACTGAGATGGCCTGGACATTAGAATCCCGCCGCAGACTTACGGCAGCCGCCACAAAGATGCGCCAGTGACTGACGACAGACACGCTTGAAACAAGTGAAGAGGCAGGGCGGGCGTCTCAGCGAAGACCAAGACAGAAGGGGCCGCATGGAGATTTCAGAACCGAACAGACAGTAAGGTTACACCCAACAATGGGCTCAACGGCAGGATGCAGAGGCCAGCGGAAAGCATCCGTGAGCTGGAGGGCCGAACAATGAAGCTACCCAATCTTCATGAAGGAAGACGGAGGGGAAAACACTGAACAGAGACCAGGGACCTGAGCAGCTGTCACCAAAGAGGGCAAGGCTGAAAAAACAACTCAAGACTTGATGGCTGAAAATGTCCCAGATCTGACAAAAGACAAACCTACAGATTCAAGAGGCTGAGAAAATCCCAAATGAGATAACCCCCCAGTCCACACCGAGTTCATTCAGCTCATTCCAACCAGAATGAGGATCACGTCTGTGACATCCCCAACATGCAGCCGCTGCCTGTGCTCAGAATCTCCAAGGCCAGGGCACACACCTGCTCCTCAGCGGCACGGCCAGTCAGACAGCTCTCGTGGCAAGCGTGTTCTCACACAGCCTCAAGTCTGACTGTTCTCTACGGCCAACAGAGAAGGTGCTGTCTTTTGTACAATGGCCTACTCCAGGTTCCCCAGTTTCTTCCCAGCTCCCCAGGGGAAACGGCTTCCAGATCCTCTTCTGTGCTCTGAGGGTGAGGCTGCCAATGCCCTATTGCCCTCTGGTGCCCCAGCTGAACGCAGTGTCTCAGACACACATCAACTGGTGGAGACAGTAGGTCTATAAACAGACTAAAACTATGGGAGGAAATGAACACAGATGACTTCTCCAGGGCAAACATTTACGGATATTGAGAGCCAGCGGGATGGTAACGGTGCTGGTGGCAGTGACAATCATGATATAGCTCAGTGCAGTTCATGCTTTCATGAATGGGAGGGGCCATGGGGTAATATAGAGTCTTGGCCTTGGGAGGCAGGTGACCTTGAATCTTGCTTCTGCTACTGGTTGACCTTGGACAGACTACTAACGTCGCTGAGTCTCAAGTCCATCAGCAGACGGTGGTTGTAACAAGTGGCCCTGCCTGTCCCACAGAGCTTCTGTAGAGGGCAACTGAGATAGGGCACATGAGATGTCTTGATAACATAAAGCATGGCATACATGGAAGGTTACTGATAACTCTACCACTGGCCTTATCACAGTACCCAATCTCAGGACACAAGGGGACTCTGAAGTTTATCTAGTCCTCATCCAGTCTTCCCCATCATGCTGGAGAAGCAGAACACAGACGGAACATGAGCTCTGCTGCCTTTTACGTGCTGGTGCTATGGCCTTTAACCAGGAACACCAGCTCCTAGGGTACTATGCCACGGCTCAAACTCAGGTTCAACCCCAATGCTGCCGCTCTTCCCATCTGGGCACCTCCCAGCACAGGCACTGATGTTCTAATAGATTGTTATAGGAAGCTTTCACTGTTTCAAATCAATAGAGAACAAACCGAAATACTACCTTCTTTAACTCAATAATCTCATCATACATGTCTTCCTTCTCTCTGTAGACAGGAGTCCCAGGGACATGACCTAGAGAAAGATAGACAAATCTTTTCAAAGACTATCTAAAAAGTAGAAAGAATTATTGGCTATACTTTAAGGAAAATCTGGAAGTTAATAACATTTCCTTCTAAAAAAGAAAAAAATAAAAAAGCAAAAATAATTCCACGTTTTTTGGCCTGATCATGATACTTCCCCAAGTAGCAAGAAAACTAAAAATGGTAGATATAGAGAGATGAAGCAAAAAGGAAATAAATAAAGATGTGAAGACCAAGTTTAACGACAGTAAAAGGATGAAAGAAGGGACTCACGGAAGGAGGAGGGACATGTTCAGATTTAAATAGCAAAACAAACAAATACCAAACACAAAAAATGCACAGAGCATCCCAGCGCCCATTCCAATGTAAAAACAGTCATGTTTACTTTGGTTTTAATGATACCTAGTATATTAAACATCTAAATTTCAGCCTAAAAGATAACTCCTAACCAGTAAAAGCAGGAAGGTAATCAATTCCTGGGGTACAGTGAGGAGGTTTTCAATACACCCTGGGAGCTGTTCTTCCTTAAGGAGGATAGGTGGGAAACATGTGGATAAAGCGAGAGGCCAGGCGCGGTGGCTCACGCCTGTAATCCCAGGACTTTGGGAGGCCAAGGTGGGAGGATCACTTGAGTCCAGGAATTTGAGACCAGCCTGGGCAACATGCAAGATCCCATCTCTAAAAAAAAAAAAAAAAAAGACTAGACAGGAACATAAACACAGCAACAAGCTGATTCTCTTTGGTGCAACTTGGACTTTTTATCATTATTTATTTATTATTATTTGTTCCTAATATCATTTACTCAATGAATAAATTTAAGCAGGCCTCTGTGTTTAGGGTGGGAGGCACAAATAACACTTGGCAAGACGTCTCTGCACCCACGAGGAAAGCTACCTTCTGGCGCAGGCAGGTTTCGTGAGTCACTGTTCCCACGACCTCCCAAAACCTCCCACTGACGGAGCTCACACATGAAGCCTGAAATCCCGCTCTGACGAAGGACGCCTCCAGCCCAGAGACTGTCCTTTCCTTCCTGTTCTTCCTTGGCCTCGGCCTTGCCACCACTGGCATGCTCACCGTTGCTGGCAGAGCGCCTGAGATGTGGCCTCTTCACTCTGAGGGCGTCTGTCAGACAGTCGGGAGTGCCACTGGGGACGCCGGTCCACGCATGCTCCCAGGTGAGGGGTGAGTTCAGGGCCTGGGTCAGACTTCCTGGTTTGAATGTGCATGGGTTTAACATGACAGGTACAAACACACACAATGGAAGGTTTTGTTTCTAATCAACTTTCCTGGATTGAAGAAAGCTCAATCACTGGTAGACACCAGCCGTCAGTGGTGTGCTGGTAAATGGTTAATAACCGGCTCCCAAATATACATTAATAAAGTCCTGATTACAGTAGTTGCCTATTTCCACAGTAGAAATATTTCTACCATGTCTAATATCAAGTAGCCAGCATGGCACTGACCAGCCCACCAAACTCCTAAGACTGTAACAGTTGGCTCTGGCAAGACGGCTGGAACCGGCTCCAACTCACCACTCCCACACAGAGACCACATGGGGCCAAGGGAGGCTAAAGTGCCACTTGGCGAAACCACGTTTGTGCATGACATAAAAAAATATTCAGTGTCTTGGAGAAAATTAAAGACAATATAATTCAAACAAGGAATATTAAAAACTCCATCTCAAACCCCTCCCTGAAATTTCTTGAACTCTTCTCTGAAGCAGGAAGGGCCTCCAGTGTGGCAACCACATACCTGGTTTTGCAGTTCCCAGCCACAGCTTCTGCGGGGTCAGGGACGCTCGGCCACCCAGAGGCATGCTCCCTGCCGTCCTGAGGGACCTCCAGGAGGCCACTTTTCTTGGCTTAGAGAGATAAGGTGACTCTAGAAAAGCCAACACATGGATTCAGAGGTGCCCGAGAGCAACGCGTGAGCTCAACACACGAGCTTTAGAAAGACAGAAAGGGGAAAATAAAACATCCGTGAGGGCGGGGACTCTAGTCAAACATTCCGGCAAAAATTCAAAAAGAGTTACTTTACCTACACGCTGACATTTCTCCTCCAACTTTTATTATAAAGAAATAGTATAACGGGGCCAGGCATGGTGGCTCATGCCTGTAATACCAATACCTTGGGAGGCTAAGGCAGGAGGATCACTTGAGACGAGGAATTCAAGACCAGCCTGGGCAACACAACAAGACCCTGTCTCTACAAAAAATCTAAAAATCAGCTAAGTGCGGTGGCTCACACCTGTGGTCCCAGCTACTCAAGGGGGCTACGGCAGGAGGATCTCTTGAGCCCAGGAGGCTACAGTGAGCTGTGATCACACTACTGCATTCCAGCCTGAGTAACAGGCTTTTCTTTCTCGAAAGAAAGAAAAGAGAAAAGAACAGAACGTAATGGGAAGAATATAACGGGAAATATATGAATTCTACCAATATTTATTATAGTATTTAATTTCTTACCCCCAATTTTTAGAGATATATATATGTTTTTACATAGTCACAATCATAGTGAACATACAATTTTGTATCCTTTTTATTTAACATTGTAAATGTTTAATGTCATTACATAGTAACAAAGCAATATTTAGAACTTAATATGTAAAATATCTAAAAGAAATGAGAAAAATTATACTTTTTCAGAGCATTCTTGATTTTGTATGAAAGTAAGGGAAATGTTTTAAAATCTTTATCTGAGATTTTACCTCTTTAAGTATAAAAAAAAAATAAACATTTGCAAAAACTAAGGCACTCTTAAAACATTCTTATATATCTTAAATTGCAAAATTTATGTCAGTAGGTTCTGAAAATTTAAGTCTAATATGTTCAAAATGTTTAAATTTCTACGTTTTTCCTGTGGTTTCACAATGTATGGGAAATTTGCCACTGTAACTCTGAATGAGGGAATAAAGGCGCAGGGACCCTGATGCGTCTTCACACACCCCAGGACCACAGAACCTTGCCTCCGAGATATTCTCAAGTTCTTCCAAAATGTAAAGATTTAAGTTGTCATTTATACAAGTAAATGAGTGAGCGGAAAAAAGCCCCACGCATTACCTTTCCCTCCTAAGAGTGTGTGGGTTTATCGGCCAGTAGGAAGGGTTCCTCAGGAAAGCACGTATGCACGCGGATAAAAGCAGGGAGGGAGGAAGAGAAGACGGCGACAGGGTGGTGGAGACATGCCAACGTTTGATACTGCCCAGAAAACGACAAACTCAGAAAGCACAAAAACATCATCGCCTGCCTTGCCCTCCTCGCAGGGTGACCAGGACGATGCAAAGCCTCGGAACGCGGTGGAAGCTGCAAACCTACAAGCAGATTGACCAGGCCTTCAAGAAAAACACTGGCTGAGTGAACAGGACAGACATGGTCCCTACACTCACGGCACCAGAAACCTGGAGAAAAACAGGCCCCAAGTGTGAGTCAGGAGGCACCCCTGGTCCTGGCCTTTTACTTTATATCAATTCTCAATTTTCTCCATGGAAGGAGAGAAAGAACATCAAAAATCCAAAATGCTAGGTGATTTCCTTCTAGTATTCATACTGATTTGCAACATATAACATGCATTCTTTTCTTTGCAGGGATTTACCTTTCTAATTACGGTTTCCTTGGGCCAGTAGGAAAGTTTTTTTATATTCTCTGAGTACGTCATACACTTGACTCAACCTTTGAAATACCTGATACATGTATATAAAATAGACATCTGCAGATGGCACAGCCAGGGAAGGCCACAGCCTTTGGGGCAGCACAGGACGCCGGCCTAGGATTTACAGGATCACGAACATGTTTGTACGCACGAGGTCGGCACATGGGCTGCTGTACACGAGAGCGGCGTTAGGGACAGAGGGGCCTTGGGGCCACCTGGACTAACCCCATCTCCGCGGCATCCTCCAGACAGGCAGGGGGCAAACACGGCCCTCCTCCCACTGAGGGTGAGGAAGAACAGAACCCTAGCAGCAACACAACCCCAGGGCGATCCAAAGGGAAAAAAGGTGAACTTTCCACCCATCCTGCACCAACTACACCTTCTCAGTAGCTTTGACTCTCAGGAACAAATCCCAGGTCAAAAATCCTTTAACTCTGGCAGCATTCAGAAGAGGTAAGCCTTTGAGAAGGCAAGAAAAAGAAAACGAAAGGCCTAGAGGCCCTGTCGGAGGAAGGCTGGGGGTGTGGATGGCAGCCTCAGCCCTGAGAAAGGGCTTGTCACTGGCACCGGCAGGGACTCCACGTGCTCCTGAGACCCCAGCGTGAACCCCAACATGAATGGGGGAGACCCAAGCGCAAACTGGGAGACCCCAGAGGGAATGGGGCCACCTGGCTGAGGCGTCAGGTCTCAGCTACCTAAATGTACAAAGCAAACACCCTTCCTTCTCTCCAGGACACTAGGGAACGTAGGCATGAGAGGGAAGGCAGGCCGGTCATACTTACTTGGCGATGTGGGTGGAGGTTTGTGGAAAGCTTTCCTTTTTGCTTTCTGAAAGAAAGAAGAAATGGCGTAAGGCTTGCTGAGCTCCCACAATGGTGCGTCACAAGACCCTGCCATGTTCAGAAACGGTCAGGGGTCGTGTAAGAGCAGCAAGAGGACATTAGCTCACGGGGACGTAAGGAGGGTCCAGGCACAGGACATGCAGGGCCCGACACAGACCCCAGAAAAATGCACTCACATCAGTGCTCGGGGCTGGGTTCTCAGAGTACAAGTTCCAATGACAGAAAACCACTGGGCCTGGGCTCCTGACGTTCAGACTGAGGGTCCCACACAAATGGCATATCTGCCCCCACCCAAACTGCCCGCACAGCCAGCCTGGGAGCCCCAGCGTGCACCTCTGTCCACTCGGGTGGAGGTGGTGAGATGAAATCCCTGCATGTAAGTCAACTGCAAAGCCCACTAAGGAAGAAGGCCCAGCAAAGGCAGACCCTGTCTGGAAGGTGGTTTCCTGTGACACACACAGAACGGGGTCCAGATCTGGTTCCACTGCTTACTACCAGGTGAGTGTCCTGTATCTGAAATGCTTGGGACCAAGAGTGTTTCAGATTTGGGAATATTTACATCCATATAATGAGGTATGGGGATGGGACCCAAGTCTAAACACAAAATTGATTTATATTTCATGTATACCTTATACCCATAGCACAAAACTAACTTTAGATTGTGTTTTTAATAACTTTGGGCATGAAACAAAGCTTGTGTAAAGTAACTGAAGTGTGGAATTTCCCACTTGTGGCCTCATGAGGGTGCTCAAAAAGTTTCCATTTTTGGAGCATTTTGGATTTCGGATTAGAGACACTCAACCTGTCGTGCCATGGCCTGGGGAAGATGCTGCCACACTTCCAACCTTAACTTCCTTATCACCTTGCACTAGACCGAGCAGCTAAGGGTACCGCGGCCAGGTCTCTTCACTTCCCCTCCAGCAGAAACAGTGAGCCCAGGCTCTATGCAGGGGCAATTTTCCCCGGGGCTTGGTCTGGATCCCTCCTCCTCCGGGGAGCATCAGGGGAGCATCCCCTGCCCTCGGTGACATGGAGTGAAAATCCTTAACTTTGCAGACAGAGGTCCCTGGAGGGAGACAGTGGAGCTGAGGCTCCCCCTTGAGTCCACAGAGCAAACGTGGAATCGAGATCGGCTGGCACCGGGTTCGTTCTGCCGGCTGCAGTTTTGCTAGATCTGCATCTGCAGTAACAAAACGGCTGCAGTTCTGCTAGATCTGCGTCTGCAGTAACAAAAGCTTTTTTTTGCTCATACGGGAACAATTGGCACGCTTCCTTTTCTACCCTGCACAGCTTGCCAAACAAACCCAAAGTCCAGGCCGGGGCCACAGTGTGCCACTGGGCCATCAGACACCACTCCTGCCCCTCTCCCTTCCAGGCTGGGAGGCCAGGCAGCGGCTCAGCTTGGGATGGTGGCTGCCCAGTTCTGCTTTCTCCCATCAGGTCCTTCCAACAGATGAGCAGGGGCTCTCCTCCTCCCCTCAAGTGTCAGGATGGGGGTGTAGGGGGCAGGGCAAAACCAGCTGCAGGCCAGGGACCAGCAATCCACCTCACGTGAGCCCTGCTCAAGATTCACTTCCGGATAAAAGTTGTAAAGTTATCACCACAGGTATTTAAACCCAACGAAGGGCTGGAAACTTTTCAAACACCAAGTAGCATTTGGAATACGCATTCCAGCTCTCAACACAGTATTGTGGAGAATGGCCCATTTTACCAGTCTGAGTGAAATCTGCAAGGGCAGCACCACCAGCCCTGGGGCGCACGGCTGATGCCCAGCGGCACTCACCGTCTCCACGTCAGAGTCAAAGGTGACTGCAGACAGACTGTCATCTCCCTGGAGGAAGAGAGGCAAACACTGTAACTCGACGGCACCTGCTGGGCTTCCAACAGTCACGTTTACAAAAGTGAAAACAGCCCGTCCACAGCTGCGGAAACAGAAACTCCAGAAATCCAGCTCCAAGGCCACTCGGAACACTCCAGCTGGGCAGCGGCCAGTTCCTCAGTCTCATCAGAAGGAATGGGTGGGTGGGGGGAAGAAACACAGAACGCCGCCCAGAAGGCGTGCAAATGTCTGCAAATCCAGGAACACTATTTCCCACAGAATTGTGTCTTGACAAAGAAAAAAAAAAAAACCAGTTCTTGCCGAAAGCATTTCATTTTCACATACATGTTCTCACTCTTATTCATCTTTACATCAAAGCACAACAAATCTGTGACTGTCTCCTGGTAAGAACTGGTCAGAGTCATCTTTTAAAAAGCAAACTCGGCCTGGGTAACATGGCGAGACACTCTCTACAAAAAAATCTTAAAAATTTAAAAAATAAGCCAGGCTGTGGTTGCACACCTGTAGTCCCAGCTACTCGGGAGGCTGAGGTGAGAGGATTGCTTGAGCCCAGGAAGTCGAGGTTGCAGTGAGCCATGACCACGCCTACATCCTTGGCAACAGAGCAAGACCCCAGCTCAAAAAAAAACAAAAAAACACAAAAAAACCCCCAAACCAACAAAAACAAAAACATATGCATTACAACGAGAAGGCATTTGGGCCTATAAAGGTTCTTGCCTTCTTATTCCAGTGACTTTGTCCTGGCCCAGGGAATGAAATAAAATTCGCACTGTCTGATGTCAGCACTAAGATGGCAAAACAAAACAAAACAGAACAAAACAAAACAGGAAGCTTTTTGAAGACAAAAATGTTTCTGTATTTACTCACTCAAATTGAAATCCAAAAAGAGAAAGCATAACATGTTTAATTGGCTGGGCACAGTGGCTCACGCCTGTAATCCCAGCACTTTAGGAGGCCGAGGCAGGCGGATTACGAGACCATCCTGGCTAACACAGTGAAACCCCGTCTCTACTAAAGAATACAAAAAATTAGCTGGGCGTGGTGGCGGGCGCCTATAGTCCCAGCTACTCGGGAGGCTGAGGCAGGAGAATGGTGTGAACCCAGGAGGCGGAGGTTGCAGTGAGCCGAGATTGTGCCACTGTAGTCCAGCCTGGGCGACAGAGCAAGATCCATCTCAAAAAAA